GCAGGGACTGAGGGACTCGTCAGAGTAGAAGAAAAGCTCAATGCACCAAAATATTGAGATAGCCCAGTCCAGAGCATTCAGAACCTCAGACTGGGCAGAAAGTTCACCTTCCAAGAGGACAATGACCCTAAGCACACAGCAAGAGTCAATTATAGACAACTGTGTGAATAGCCTTGAGTGGCCCAGCCACAGCCTGAGCTTGAACCCAGTCAAATATTTCTGGAGAATGGAGAAACCGTGCATCTGCCCCATCCAACCTGACAGAGCCTGAGAGGTGAAGAGGCGAGGTGAAGAATGAAGAATGGTTGCCAAATGCTGATGTGCAAAGCTTGTCACATCAAACAAAAAAAAATATTTGAGGCTGTAAAGGTGCTTCCGCTAAATATTTAGTTAAGGGTATGAATACTTATGCAATGTACTTATTTCAGTTTTTTCTTTTTAATATAAGAAACAGTTTTTTGATTCACCATTATGGTGTATGGAGTGTAGATTGATGTGGAAAAAAGGTAATAAAAGTAATTTTAACATAAGGCAGCAACATAACAAAACGTGAAAAAAATAAAGTGCTATGAATACTTTCGATACTTTCGCTATATACAGTTTGTACACCAAAAGTCTTGTCAGGCATATTTAGAACAAGAAACATTAAATGACATTAAAAGACTATTTAAGGATCACAGTGCAGAGCCCAAAAATACTAATTAATAGTCATTTTAAATGTTTACCAATCTTCAATATCCTGCGTCATTTCATTGTTACATAAATATATCATTATATATATATATATATATACATATATATAAAATTTCCAAATGTCTAAAGATTATATGACATCTGAAAATCAATTTTAGTATAAATGATATACTATTATATTATAGTTTTTATTAATAGTTTGAATTAAGTTTTTATTTTTATATTTTATGTTTTTTAATTTAATTTTTTACTATTTTTGTACATTTTTATTATTTTTTAGTATAATATAAATATTAATAAGGTTTTTTTATCATTTTATTTCACTTTTAGTTTTAGTTCTTTTAGTACATAATTTTCAACTAAATGAAAATGAGAAAGGTTTCCTTTAGAACAAGTTGAATTAAAATAAATTTACCTTTTTTATCTTTATCTATCTATCTATCTATCTATCTATCATAGTTTTAATTAACTATAATAACCCTGAGAGACAGTAGAGAGCTGACTGTAATGTTGAACTCAATTCCAAGCATCATGTTTGAAAGAAACCAGGCACTGCTCATCACCTGCAGAGTAGCATCCCAAAAGTAAAGCGTGCTGGTAGCAGCCTCATGCTGTGGGGGTGTTTTTCAGAGGCAGGGACTGAGGGACTCGTCAGAGTAGAAGAAAAGCTCAATGCACCAAAATATTGAGATAGCCCAGTCCAGAGCATTCAGAACCTCAGACTGGGCAGAAAGTTCACCTTCCAAGAGGACAATGACCCTAAGCACACAGCAAGAGTCAATTATAGACAACTGTGTGAATAGCCTTGAGTGGCCCAGCCACAGCCTGAGCTTGAACCCAGTCAAATATTTCTGGAGAAACCTGAAAATGTGCATCTGCCCCATCCAACCTGACAGAGCCTGAGAGGTGAAGAGGCGAGGTGAAGAATGGCAGATATTTGCCAAATGCTGATGAGAAAAGCTTGTCGCATCAAAACAAAAAAAGACTTGAGCCTGTAAAGGTGCTTCAGCTAAATAGTTAGTTAAGGGTATGAATACTTATGCAATGTACTTATTTCAGTTTTTTTTTTTTTTATAAATTTACGAAGTTTTGACAATTCTGTTTTTGCTTTGTCAATATGGTGTATGGAGTGTAGATTGATGTGGG